CTGCGTTTTCTGAGTTTCTTTAACCACGTTTTCTCAGTTGGTCTTGAAAAAAGAAAACAAGAGAGATGTTTTCTCGCCTCGTCGGTGAGAGATCTTAGTTTTCTCAAGCATACCAATTTAAAATACAATGAACTACCCGATCCCATAGTTCCGGGCTGCAATTTTCCTGGCTCTTAGTGACAATACATTACCACTTAACCTCAAGGAACATTTCTCACCGGCACGCATCCAGCACACCCTTGAAGTTGCGCACATTGGTGCAGTTGGCCACTCCCCCGTGTAACCTGTTCCACATAGGTCTGACCCTATGTTCAGTTCAGTTTAGTTTTTACAATCATTAACTATACACGTTCGTGCACCGGTTTTGGTTGCTGTCTTTTGCGAAGAAGTTGGCCTGGACTTCCAACTTAGCATGGTTATGTTGAAGCTTAAACATATAATCTCTCGTGTTTTGAGTACGGGAAGCCGTAAACAAGTCATGTGAATGGAGTCCTGATAGCCCTCTGACTATTTTAAAGGTCTCTATCAGGTCACCTCGCGGTCGTCTACGTATCAGCAAAAAGATATTTAAGTCTCAATCACTCTTCAGAGACGTTTTCCTTTTACTCAGCTACCATTAAGGTGACAAGTCGTTGCACCTTCTCCAGGCATGCTATATCCTTTCTATAGTATGGTGCCCATGCCGAAACAGGGTATTCTGAGTGAAAGCAAACTAGTGCCTTGCAGATAGGCATAAAGACCTCTGCGTTTCTACATGTAAGGGCAGAACACAACCTAAAGAGCTCACCACGAGCCTTATTGGCTGCCTTCAGACGTTGTGTTTTGGTCTTGAGAATCCTCGTGGAAATGACTCCCAAGTCACTGACTGCACCTGTGTGCTGCAGTGCCAGCTGCCCATACCGAGTGATATCGGCTCTTGCGGTTAACATTTGGCACTATTCGAGATTTAGTGGTAAGTCCCAATGAATTGACCATTGTCTAAGCGTTTCTACATAGGGTTCTAAATTTGTTCCGGTTAATTTCACATCGTCTGCAAACATGAATCAGGGGTTTTGGAGGTCAAGTCGTCGATGTAAATTAAAAATAGTAGTGGTCCTAGAACTGATCCTTGAGGCACCCCGCTTGTTACTCCTGCTGGCTTGCTCAGATAGTCACCAACATTCGCACAGAAAGTGCGATGACTGAGGAACTGCACTACCCAATTTCTCATTGCCCCTTAATCCTACATCATGTAGCTTGCAAACTAGGAACTTATGGCTGACTGAATTGAAGGCTTTGCAGAAGTCGAGGTAGCAGACCTCAACCTGCTGACATTCATCCAACCTTTAAGTAACCCTATCTAAAATGGTAAGCAGGCTAGTCAGGCACGATTTTCTTTTGGTAAACCCATGCAGCGCTGGTACCAAAAGGTTGTGGGTTGTTAGGTGCTGATATATTTGCCCCTGATGATCCGTTCCGAGCATTTGCACCAAACGGATGTCGGGCTAACTGGTCGGTAGTTGCTCGCCTTATGCCCAGGTTCTGACTTGTATAGAACAACAACAGTTGCCTTGCGCCAGTCCTCTGGTAATGCCCCCGTCCAGTGCAGTGGTGCAGTGGGCTCCGCAACATCCCTCTATACTGGTTGTCGGTATATGCTCTTAAAGAAGATAAAAAGATGGTTTGTTTGTCTTGGTCGGATGTGGCTAAGCTACCTCCACTCACCTCCAAGGTGCCCATACTTTCTTTTTTAATTTTGTTGGCTTGCACGTAGGCATAAAACCTTTTGAGGTTAAGCTTGATGTGTTGGACCAGGTTTCTTTCGTATATATTTTTTATCTCTCGTTATAGAGTCTGTGCCTTGTTATGAGCCTTGCTGTATTGACACCATGTCTGATGCGTGCCATACATTCGATAATTTGTCCAACATCGTCGACGTGTTTTAAGTGAACTATCTAGCTTGGGCCGCCACCCCACTGGCCTGTGGTTTCCACGCCTGGGGCGTAACTGAACAGACTCGTCCATAAGTCGTCATATACCTACTTGGATCTTATGCCATCTCTCTTCCACTGTGGGTTCCGAGGATTCAGGTTTCCAGATGAACTGCTTCGCTGCTTTACGCAAGGCTTCCTGATTTATACTACTATAGCATTGTACCAGTGAGGCTTCTGACTTTCTGTACTTTTCCGTCGGCAGAAATCTCAACACTAGATGGCCACTTTTCCCAGTGGTTCTTCTAGTTTAATTTCGCTAACATCCGACTAGTACCTTGTTGTGACTAGGTCCAAGATGGACACCTGTTGATACCTGAATCTTGTCGCCTGCGTAACG